CCCCCCCCACGCATGCGCTAGAACTTGATTGCTCACGAACTTGATTACATAGAAACAGCAAATGACACGTGTATGTCCGGGCCCATACAAAAAGCCATGGGCTCCTCTGATGGGGTTAATTGCTTCAGCTTGCGATTAGGTGAATTGTTGAGAAGCGCCTCTGTGGGCATGGAGAAACCGAGGTTCGTGCAAAGTTTGACAGCTAAGTTGGGAATCGACGACAAACCTGATTTTCTGCAGTGATGTGCAACATCGCAGGATTCCATTGCCTACCAGTTGTTCTTTCTGACTAGTTGTGCGCAGCTTCATCAATTTTGTCTTTGTTGGTTTGATTTCAAACGGTTGCAAATCCATTGTCTTTTGACCCGGACGTCACCATCTGCGTGAGGGGTGCGTCCAATTTTCGGAGATTTGAGGATCCCGAGCGAACGGTTAGACAAAATCGCGGGCAGCTACACCAATCATCGCCTCTACGCTCTACTCCCACGGAGAGGCGCGTATGCATTCCTGATACCATATATATATATATATATCCACATCCCGTAGCCATTTTGGCTGAAAGGGACTGGCTAAGGATCCAGGCTGCCTGGTCCATCACGGGGGGGCATCATATCCGTAAGGGCTTCGCCCCCTGCCGCCGGCCCCCTCTCTCGGAGAATGGGCCATGGAAGAGCTAAGTCATGAGGCTTTGGCGCTGTCGTGCAGCAGTATCGAACTTCATGCGAGGCCGATTCGCAATCGGCAAAACCAACTGATCACAAGAGGGGTTACCACACAGGGCGATTGGTAAGACGTGTATGGTTTACGAGCTTGGTTACCACACCTTGGGATTAAAGGGCCGAGGGAGTACTCGCAGTTTGGGTTACCACGCCTTGCGATGGATGTGCGTGAGGGGTGGCACCGAATTTCAGAAATGTGGCAAATCCCATGTGTTTTTGGACCCTGACCCCGCGGATCTGCGTGAGGGGTGGCACCGAATTTCAGAAATGTGGCAAATCCCATGTGTTTTTGGACCCTGACCCCGCGGATCTGCGTGAGGGGTGGCACCGAATTTCAGAAATGTGGCAAATCCCCTTGTGTTTTTGGACCCTGACCCCGCGGATCTGCGTGAGGGGTGGCACCGAATTTCAGAAATGTGGCAAATCCCCTGTGTTTTTGGACCCTGACCCCGCGGATCTGCGTGAGGGGTGGCACCGAATTTCAGAAATGTGGCAAATCCCCTGTGTTTTTGGACCCTGACCCCGCGGATCTGCGTGAGGGGTGGCACGGAATTTCAGAAATGTGGCAAATCCCTTGTGTTTTTGGACCCTGACCCCGCGGATCTGCGTGAGGGGTGGCACCGAATTTCAGAAATGTGGCAAATCCCATGTGTTTTTGGACCCTGACACCGCGGATCTGCGTGAGGGGTGGCACCGAATTTCAGAAATGTGGCAAATCCCATGTGTTTTGGGACCCTGACCCCGCGGATCTGCGTGAGGGGTGGCACCGAATTTCAGAAATGTGGCAAATCCCATGTGTTTTTGGACCCTGACCCCGCGGATCTGCGTGAGGGGTGTCGATTTCGAGCCCCCCCAGCAATTCAGACAACGCGCCCAGGGGGTGCTAAAAAGTCCTGTTTGGGCCTCCCCCCCCGTCGCGCGGTCAATCAACTAGTTACAGTAACCAGCAATAAGTCAATTAGTTACAGTAACCAGCAAGAAGCAGAACTCTAACACTGGAAACTACAAGCTACAACTGGTACAGGAAACTGCGAATCCCGCGCCTCGCAGCCTGGTGGCCCCACAAGGGGGCCGGCGGATTAAGGACCTGCAGCGTCGCTAACATCATCATCCTCACCGTCGTTGGCATCATCACCGTCATCACGCAACCAGCAGTTGTCACCATCGTCATTACCATCATCATGATCACCATCGCCATCATCGTCATCACCATCATTATCATCATCATCACCATCATCATCGCCATCATCATCATCCACAGCGGTTTCGGCTCTCGGACGCGAGTAGCTCGCTTTTGCTTTTCGCGCTCCCCCCCAACCACCAGCTGCCGCCATGGGCAAGAGGGCAGGTGACGCGGGGACCCCGTCGCCTGCGAAGAAGGCGGCGGCCGCGGCGGCCTCACCAGCCGCTGCCTCTGGCGCGCCGCCCGCTGCTGCCTCTGGCGCGCCGCCGGCCCTGTGCATCGCGCAGCTCCTCGAGACGGACCGCGCGTCGATGCAGCAGGGTCACGTCAAGGAGTGGGTGCGCCAAGTGAAGCACTACGTCGACCATGGTTTGCTCAGCTTCCTGGGGCAGCGCAAGCGCGAGGCGTCCTTCGCGGTGCCCGCCAAGTGGTCCTTGATTCCGCCGTTGGCCATCAGTGACGCTGCCTCTGGCGCAAACCTCAGTTCGTTTCGCGAGGTCATGGACTACGACAACCTGGTTGCGAGCTTCTCCCGCGCCAAGGAGTACGCGGGAGCGGGGGCGGCGTGGATGTTGGACCCGATTTGCTCGGACATCGACGACGTCACCGTGAGCCAGCTCGAGGGTGCCATGGGCGCGTGGTCGGAGGAGGCGTGCTCCCTCTCCTCCAAGCACGCGCCCTCGCGGCGCCTCTCCTTCGACGCGCCTATCCCCGCCTTGGTGGTCGACGTCGAGGTCGCCCAGCGGCTCGAGCCTAACAAGCCTGGAGTTTGCTTGACAGAGGCTCTGACCGTGGCCGGGTGTAGTTTTTCTCTGGTCGGGTCTAGTTTCTCCTTGGTCGGGTGTAGTTTTCCATTGGTCGGGTCTAGTTTTTCCCTGGTCGGGTCTAGTTTTTCCCCGACCGCGCCAGAGGCAGCGGAGTGCTTGGGCAGCGCCGCCTTGCCGTCGATGCCCCCAAGGCACTCGGGCGCCTCTGCGTAGGCGGAGAAAGCGGCGGCTGAGCCGCCGCTCCTGACGCCCCGTCAATGTCGATATTGGCGCACCGCGCGGCCGCGGTCTCTGTGCGCCCGGCACTGCCGAGAGCCAGCGTGAAAAATACCTCCGCCGCCAGCTCGGGTGGGATGTCCAACCCGCCAGGTCCTCCAGGACTTCCGGTTGGCCGACCCCGCGTCGAAGTCTTCTCACAGAAATCCGCGCCGAGGCTGCGTTCTGCTGCTGGCCGCCGCGGTTGACTCACTCATGGCAACGCGCCGCGGTCGCGCTTCCTGCTCTAGCTTGCAAATGCGAAACGGACGCGCGGGGGGGGGGCAGGGGGGGGGCAGCAGCAGCGCCGAAACGAGCAGCGGCAGCAGCGCAAGCAACGGTAACATAGGAGGAGCAGCCTCAGCAGGAGGAGGACGAGCAGCACCAGCAGCAGGAGAAGAAGCGGGAGAAGCAAGAATATGAGAAGCAGCAGCCGCATCACCACAAGCAGCAGCAGCAGCAAAAGCAGCAGCATTTGAGGGCAGCCTCAACAGGGAGGCTGAGGGGGGGGCAGCAACAGCAGCAGCAGCGGCAGCGAGAGAAGCAGGAGGATGAAGGTCGGGTCTAGTTTTCTCCCTGGTCGGGTCTAGTTTTCCTTTTGGTCGGGTCTAGTTTTCCCTGTGGTCGGGTCTAGTTTTTCCCTGGTCGGGTCTAGTTTTCCCTGGTCGGGTATAGTTTTCCCGCGGTCGGGTCTAGTTTTTCCTTTGGTCGGGTCTAGTTTTCCCCTGGTCGGGTGTAGTTTCTCATTGGTCGGGTTTAGTTTTCCCTTGGTCGGGCTTCGTTTTTTCCTTTCGTCCGGTTTAGTTTTTTTTGTTGGTCGGGTTTAGTTTTTCCCTGGTCGGGTCTAGTTGTCCTTTGGTCGGGTCTAGGTTTTCCCTGTGATCGGGTCTAATTTTTTTTGGTCGGGTTTAGTTTTTCCTTTGGTCGGGTCTAGTTTCCCCTTGGTCGGGTTTAGTTTTCCCTGTGGTCGGGTTTAGTTTTCCCTGTGGTCGGGTCTAACTTTTCCCTGGTCGGGTCTACTTTTTCCTTGGTCGGGTCTAGTTTGTTCTACTGGTCGGGTCTAGTTTTTCCTTTGGTCCGGTCTAGTTGTTCTCTGATCGGGTCTAGTTTTTCTTTGGTCGACTCTAGTTTTCCCTTGGTCGGGTTTCGTTTTTCCTTTGGTCGGGCATAGTTTTTCTTTGGTCGGGTTTAGTTTTTCCCTGGTCGGGTCTAGTTTTCCCTTGGTCGGGTCTAGTTTTCCCTGTGATCGGGTCTAGTTTTTTCTGGTCGGGTTTAGTGTTTCCGTGGTCGGGTTTAGTTTCCCCCTTTGGTCGGGTCTTGTTTTTCTTTTGGTCGGGTCTATTATTTCCCTGGTCGGGTCCAGTTTTCCTCTGGTCGGGTCTAGTTTTCCTGTGGTCGGGTCTAGTGTTTCCTTTTTTTATGTTTTTTTTTTTTTTTTTTTTTTCTCTCTCTCTCTCTCTCTCTCCATTTTTTTGGTCGGGTGCAGTTTTCCCGCGGCCGGGTCTAGTTGTTCCCTTGGTCGGGTTTAGTGTTTCTTTTGGTCGGTCTATTTTTTTCTTTTGGTCGGGCCTAGTTTTCCTCTGGTCGGGTGTAGTTTTCCCTGTGGTCGGGGATAATTTTTGGGCTGTGGGCTCCTTTGGGCTTACTCTGATCCTCTTTGCCTCTCTCCAAGGCCGTTTTGCAGCGGTGTCTACTCACTGAGCGCACAGAGCAAAGTACACAAACCGTCTTGATCGCGACCTTGGTGCGCATGGCTCCGACCTCCGCGTGGCCCCTGGTGGAGCACTGGGCCGAGGTCACGGGGAAGACACCGCTAAACCTGGCGCTCGAGGCCCCGAGCGAAGCCGTCCGGATGGGCGGGGCCTTCTCCTTCATGTGCTCCCTGAGGATGGACGGCGTCGGCAGCTGGAGCCGCGTGTTCGACTTCTCCCTCGTGGCCGACGAGGACAGCATCACGGCCGGGGCCATCGGGGCGACCCTCGACCTGCATTTCACCGTCTTCCGGGGGAAGAAGCCATTCAGCGTGTGCGTGAGCAATTTCTTCGAGCTCGGGAAAGAGATGACCATGCTATGTTCCGTCTCGCCCTCGGGGTGCATGAGGGTCTTCAAGGATGGCGCCCTCGTGGGGGAGAACGGAGAGGGCCTGTGCCCTCTGCGGCAGGACAGGCCGCGCATGATCGTGGGCGGCCACTACCTGTTCACCGACCAGGTCTTCCGCGGCAGCCTGAGAGACTTGAAGATGTGGAACCAGGAGGTGGAGTGGCCAAGGCTGCAGAATGCCGAGGCATCGCTCGTGCCGAAGGTGGTCGGAGGCTTCCCTGGCGACATCGCCGCCGTGTTCCCTCCCGCTGACAAAGGAAAGGATGCGCCGGTCGTGGTCCTCGCCGAGCACCTCGATGACGAGTCCTCCGATGCCGGCGCCTTCGATGCCGAATCCCTCGTTTCCGACACCAGTGGAGCTGCTGCTGCGCTGAGTTAGCATGGCAGGGGCGTGTGTCCCAGCGATGCAGGACGGCGTTCGCGTGAGCGCCCTCGTCCTGCTCTAGTCCGCGAGCAGTGGAGGCCTTCGCCCGGCTCACGTGCTTGCCTTCTGTGCCGCGTTTGAATTCGTATGCCGTCGCGGGGGGTGCCCTGCCCCTTGATCGGGATCTGAGCCACTGCCCGGAAGGCTAAATGCCCTGGCAGGGGCTGCGTTGCAGGCCCTTTTTAGTAGTCTTGGAGTTCCATGCCCGCCATGCGTCGGGTGTTGCTAGAAGTGCCCCCGGCTCAAGGTGCCCCCAGAATGTCCAAGGAGGCCCCCACGGCCTCCAGAGAACCCTCCACGAGGCCGCGAGAAGGCCCCAGGGGCTCCAAAATTGAGCGAATTGCCGGGGGGCACCTTGGACAAGGGGCACCACCTCTAGTAACCCCCGAATTCGCCACAAGCAAGCAGCAACGCGAACCCTCCTCGGGCGAAGAGAACCAACCCTACACATGTCGGACGGGGCCAGGGCGGGGACAGAGCCGGTTTCCAGATCGCTCCAGAGCGCTCTGATCAGCGCGTTCCCGAGCGTTCCGAGAAGGCCGCGACGCCCGACACCGCCCGATGCATCTTCCAGAGCCGCCGGACCTCGGAGATTCTCGAGTTCTCCTCGCCCGGATTTATCCTCGTCCTGGCTTCGTCTGAGCCTGCACCCCTTCCTTCCGCTTCCCCCCCCCCACAGGCCGGCGCGCAGGCCGCCGCGCCGCCTGCGAGCCGGCCGCGCGCCCCGGGGCCTCGGAGCTCTCCGCGCGGATTGCTTGGATCGGCGCTGGGCTCCCTGGAGTTTGGGCGGCTCGGTCTGTCTTGTTGGCGCATTTCGCTTAGTTTCAAGAGGGAAAGAAACACACAGACACAATTAATCGGCGATTCCCCAGAAAATATGGGAAAATATGGGAAGTGGGGGGGAGACAAAAACCCAGAAATTATGGGAAAAAAGGAATATTTTTATTTGTGTGTATTTATTTGTGTGTCCCAGGGCCCCTTCATAGTTCCCCTCTCCATTTTGCTTAGGTCCCCATTTGGCGGATCAGAGCGAGGGTGCGCCGACGGCCGCGAGGCGCCAGTTGCCGGCCCCTCCGTGGGAGCCGCCAGGCTTCGTGGGCTTCGTCGAGTGTGGCCCGAATTCGGCGCCTCGCCTCCTCGGGCTCCTCGGGCATGACTTCGGCGCCTCGCCGGAGTGCCCCACACAGGCGGCAAAAAGTCATCTCGAGGGAAGGTACATGGGGGGAGGGGGGAGGGGGGAGGAGGAGGAGGAGGAGGAGGAGGAGGAGGAGGAGGAGGAGGAGGAGGAGGAGAAGGAGGAGAGGGAGAAGGAGGAGTGGAGGAGGAGTAGGACGAGAAGGAGTGGAGTGGAGTGGAGTGGAGTGGAGTGGAGTGGAGTGGAGTGGAGTGGAGTGGAGTGGAGTGGAGTGGAGTGGAGTGGAGTGGAGTGGAGTGGGGCGGGGCGGGGCGGGGCGGAGTGGAGTGGAGTGGGGTGGTGTGGAGTGGAGTGGAGTAGAGTGGTTCTGGAAAGCGAATCACAAGATCCCGGCTGGCCATGCCACAATCATCACAATTACCATTTGACGACGATGATGGTGGTAATGATGCTCATGGTGTTGATGAGGATGATGAGGTTCACACCGACTGCGACGATGATGGTGATGATGTTGATGTTGATGATGCTTATGATGCTGATGTTGATGCTGAGGATGGCGATGTTGATGATGCTGATGATGATGATGGCGATGATGATGATGATGATGATGATGATGATGATGATGATGATGATGATGATGAGGATGATGGCGATGATGATGATACCGATTATGATAATGATGATGTTGATGATGCTGATGATGAGAATGCTGATGATGATGCTGATGATTATGTTATTGCTAATGGTAATGATTATGATTATGATGATGATGATGATGTTGATGATGCTGATGGTGGTGATGGTGATGATGATGATGATGATGATGATGCTGATGATGCTGATGATGATGATGATGATGATGATGATGATGATGATGATGATGATGATGATAACGATGTTCCGAATGGTTTTCGTAACGATGATGGTGACGATCACGCTCCTGATATTGATAATGCTTACGACTCCCTTTGATCTTCGATTCGGCGGCGGCATTCGCTTATGGACCCCCCCCACGCATGCGCTAGAACTTGATTGCTCACGAACTTGATTACATAGAAACAGCAAATGACACGTGTATGTCCGGGCCCATACAAAAAGCCATGGGCTCCTCTGATGGGGTTAATTGCTTCAGCTTGCGATTAGGTGAATTGTTGAGAAGCGCCTCTGTGGGCATGGAGAAACCGAGGTTCGTGCAAAGTTTGACAGCTAAGTTGGGAATCGACGACAAACCTGATTTTCTGCAGTGATGTGCAACATCGCAGGATTCCATTGCCTACCAGTTGTTCTTTCTGACTAGTTGTGCGCAGCTTCATCAATTTTGTCTTTGTTGGTTTGATTTCAAACGGTTGCAAATCCATTGTCTTTTGACCCGGACGTCACCATCTGCGTGAGGGGTGCGTCCAATTTTCGGAGATTTGAGGATCCCGAGCGAACGGTTAGACAAAATCGCGGGCAGCTACACCAATCATCGCCTCTACGCTCTACTCCCACGGAGAGGCGCGTATGCATTCCTGATACCATATATATATATATATATCCACATCCCGTAGCCATTTTGGCTGAAAGGGACTGGCTAAGGATCCAGGCTGCCTGGTCCATCACGGGGGGGCATCATATCCGTAAGGGCTTCGCCCCCTGCCGCCGGCCCCCTCTCTCGGAGAATGGGCCATGGAAGAGCTAAGTCATGAGGCTTTGGCGCTGTCGTGCAGCAGTAATAGTAACTTCCATGCGAGGCCGATTCTCATCGCAAAACCAACGAATCACAAGAGGGGTTACCACAGCAGGGCGATTGGAGACGTGTATCGTTTACGAGCTTGGTTACCACACCTTGGGATTAAAGGGCCGAGGAGTACTCGCAGTTTGGGTTACCACCCCTCGATGGATGTGCTGATTGTGTCCCGAAATTCCAGAAATGTGCAAATCCCCATGTTTTTTTTGGCCCTGGCCCGCTGATTCTGCGTGAGGGGTGTCACCGGAAAAGAAATTTCAAATGTGCAATCGGGGGATGTTTTGTGACCCGGACCCCGCGGATCTGCGTGAGGGGTGGCACCGAATTTCAGAAATGTGGCAAATCCCCTGTGTTTTTGAACCCTGACCCCGCGGATCTGCGTGAGGGGTGGCACCGAATTTCAGAAATGTGGCAAATCCCCTGTGTTTTTGGACCCTGACCCCGCGGATCTGTGTGAGGGGTGGCACCGAATTTCAGAAATGTGGCAAATCCCCTGTGTTTTTGGACCCTGACCCCGCGGATCTGCGTGAGGGGTGGCACCGAATTTCAGAAATGTGGCACATCCCCTGTGTTTTTGGACCCTGACCCCGCGGATCTGCGTGAGGGGTGGCACCGAATTTCAGAAATGTGGCAAATCCCATGTTTTTTTGGACCCTGACCCAGCAGATCTGCGTGAGGGGTGGCACCGAATGTCAGAAATGTGGCAAATCCCTTGTGTTTTTGGACCCTGACCCCGCGGATCTGCGTGAGGGGTGGCACCGAATTTCAGAAATGTGGCAAATCCCCCTGTGTTTTTGGACCCTGACCCCGCGGATCTGCGTGAGGGGTGTCGATTTCGAGCCCCCCCAGCAATTCAGACAACGCGCCCAGGGGGTGCTAAAAAGTCCTGTTTGGGCCTCCCCCCCCCTCGCGCGGTCAATCAACTAGTTACAGTAACCAGCAATAAGTCAACTAGTTACAGTAACCAGCAAGAAGCAGAACTCTAACACTGGAAACTACAAGCTACAACTGGTACAGGAAACGCGAATCCCGCGCCTCGCAGCCTGGTGGCCCCACAAAGGGGCCGGTGGACTAAGGACCTGCAGCGTCGCTAACATCATCCTCACCGTCGTTGGCATCATCACCGTCATCACGCAACCAGCAGTTGTCATCATCGTCATTACCATCATCATGATCACCATCGCCATCATCGTCATTACCATCATTATCATCATCACCATCATCATCGCCATCATCATCATCCACAGCGGTTTCGGCTCTCGGACGCGAGTAGCTCGCTTTTGCTTTTCGCGCTCCCCCCCAACCACCAGCTGCCGCCATGGGCAAGAGGGCAGGTGACGCGGGGACCCCGTCGCCTGCGAAGAAGGCGGCGGCCGCGGCGGCCTCACCAGCCGCTGCCTCTGGCGCGCCGCCCGCTGCTGCCTCTGGCGCGCCGCCGGCCCTGTGCATCGCGCAGCTCCTCGAGACGGACCGCGCGTCGATGCAGCAGGGTCACGTCAAGGAGTGGGTGCGCCAAGTGAAGCACTACGTCGACCATGGTTTGCTCAGCTTCCTGGGGCAGCGCAAGCGCGAGGCGTCCTTCGCGGTGCCCGCCAAGTGGTCCTTGATTCCGCCGTTGGCCATCAGTGACGCTGCCTCTGGCGCAAACCTCAGTTCGTTTCGCGAGGTCATGGACTACGACAACCTGGTTGCGAGCTTCTCCCGCACCAAGGAGTACGAGGGAGCGGGGGCGGCGTGGATGTTGGACCCGATTTGCTCGGACATCGACGACGTCACCGTAAGCCAGCTCGAGGGTGCCATGGGCGCGTGGTCGGAGGAGGCGTGCTCCCTCTCCTCCAAGCACGCGCCCTCGCGGCGCCTCTCCTTCGACGCGCCTATCCCCGCCTTGGTGGTCGACGTCGAGGTCGCCCAGCGGCTCGAGCCTAACGAGCCTGGAGTTTGCTTGACAGAGGCTCTGACCGTGGTCGGGTGTAGTTTTTCTCTGGTCGGGTCTAGTTTCTCCTTGGTCGGGTGTAGTTTTCCATTGGTCGGGTCTAGTTTTTCCCTGGTCGGGTCTAGTTTTTCCCCGACCGCGCCAGAGGCAGCGGAGTGCTTGGGCAGCGCCGCCTTGCCGTTGATGCCCCCAGGCACTCGGGGCACCTCTGCAGTAGGCGCGAGGAACGGCGGCAGCCACCGCTCCTGAACGGCCCCGTCAATGTCGATATTGGCGCACGCGCGCCGCGGTCTCTGGCCGCCCGGCCCTGGCCGAGGAGCCAGCGCGAAAATAACCCCGCCGCCAGCTCGGGTGGGATGTCCAACCCGCCAGGTCCTCCAGGACTCGGTTGCCGACGCCGCGTCGAAGTTCTTCTCAACAGAGTCCGCGCCGGAGGCTGCGTTCTGCTGCTGGCCGCCGCGGTGACTCATCATGGCAAACGCGCCGCGGTCGCGTCTTCCTGGCTCGAGCTTGCAAATGCGACGGACGCGCGGGGGGGGGGGGGGGCAGGGGGGGGGCAGCAGCAGCGCCGAAACGAGCAGCAGCAGCAGCAGCGCAAGCAACGGCAACATAGGAGGGGCAGCCTCAGCAGGAGGAGGACGAGCAGCACCAGCAGCAGGAGAAGAAGCGGGAGAAGCAAGAACATGAGAAGCAGCAGCCGCATCACCACAAGCAGCAGCAGCATCAGAAGCAGCAGCATTTGAGGGCAGCCTCAACAGGGGGGCTGAGGGGGGGCAGCAACAGCAGCAGCAGCGGCAGCGAGAGAAGCAGGAGGATGAAGGTCGGGTCTAGTTTTCTCCCTGGTCGGGTCTAGTTTTCCTTTTGGTCGGGTCTAGTTTTCCCTGTGGTCGGGTCTAGTTTTTCCCTGGTCGGGTCTAGTTTTCCCTGGTCGGGTATAGTTTTCCCGCGGTCGGGTCTAGTTTTTCCTTTGGACGGGTCTAGTTTTCCCCTGGTCGGGTGTAGTTTCTCATTGGTCGGGTTTAGTTTTCCCTTGGTCGGGCTTCGTTTTTTTCCTTTCGTCCGGTTTAGTTTTT